TGATTGTCAGGGGCTGGAGGGAGGGGAAAATGAGGAGCTGGTGTTTAACAGCCACAAAGGCTCAGTTTTATAAGACTGAGAAGTCCCGAGACTGGTTGCACAACAACATGAGTATATCAGACGCTCCTTAAACGTACATTTAAAAATGTACGTTAAGATAGTAAATTTTATGTTATGTGTATGTCACCACAATAAAAAAAATTTTTTTTTCCCAAAGGGAAACACAGTGGCCTCTCCATGGAGAATGGACTAGAGGGGAGTAAGGAAAAAATGAAATACCAATAAAGAAGTCACTGATGTTTTCCCGGCAAGAGATGCTGGTGGGTCTGGACCAGGGTGACTGAAGTGAGGAGCAAGAGGAGACCAGAACTTGGACATTTATTTTGGAGAAGAACCACGCTCGTCTTCCTCGATGGGTTCTATGTGGCCACGAGGGAAAGAGAAAGTTTCTGGCTGTATACAGAACGGGTGGGTAGGGATGCCGTTTATTTTTATGGGGATGCCATTTACTTTCAGTTGAGAAAAATAGGACAAGACAGGTTTGGAGAAGAAATCAGAAGCTGAGTTTGGCAGTCCCTTTCCTTGATAAACACACACAGACACACACACTTCATACAAGACTGTGGCATGAAGTGGATTTTAGTAAATGGTGAGGATTTGCCTCACAGCTCCAATAACCTAAATTGAGTATCACCATTAAAGTACTTTTGGAAGTTGGAATATAAATAAATTTTGGTTTGTGTTTGCTGAAGATACACTGGAAAGATACCCAGAAATGAAAAAGAAATTATTTATGGGGAGTGGGACAGTGGAATGGGGTATAGAGAGACAGAAGCTGTACTAAGACATTTCACGGTTTGCCTCTATATTATTATTTATTAAACTGTTTATTTCATTTTATTTTGGTCGTGCTGCATGGCATGTGCGGTATTAGTTCCCCAACTAAGGATGGAACCTAGGTCCCATGCATTGGAAGTGAAAGTGAAAGTCGCTCAGTCGTGTCTGACTCTTTGAGACCCGGTGGACTACACAGTCCATGGAATTCTCCAGGCCAGAATACTGGAGTGGGTAGCCTTTCCCTTCTCCAGGGGATCTTCCTAACCCAGGGATTAAACCCAGGTCTCCCACATTGCAGGCGGATTCTTCACCAGCTGAGCTACAAGGGAAGCCCAATAATACTGGAGTGGGTAGCCTATCTCTTCTCTAGAGGATCTTCTCAACCCAGGAATCAAACTGGGGTTTCCTGCATTGCAGGTGGATTCTTTACCAACTGAGCTACATGGGAAGACATTGGAAGCATGGAGCCTTAATCACTAGACTGCCAGGGAAGTCCCTACTTCTATGATACTTTGACTTATGAACCATGTACATGTTTTTTAAAGAAAACTAAAATTTAAAAATTAAAATTAAAAAGTCATTTAGACTCTCTCCATCAGGAAAAATTCTCAGCTGTTATACCATCCGGCCAGGTTCTGAATCCTCCTCTCTTTTCCCATTTCTCATTCTTATATGCTCCCTTCAGAGTTGGGTCCTTTTCTGCTCCAATCTATATTCTTCTCATTTTCAATACAATTCAAATCTCTTTTGTCCCTACTTTCAAGCTCAGCTATGGGTCCACTTTTGTACATTAAAACTTATAAAAGTGTTCATATGAACAAAAAACAAACAGAATCCTAGAAGTGGTACTTTTAAATGCATATCCTGCCCCTCTCACCAAGGGTACAAAAATAAGATGAGGTCGTGGGGATGTGCTGTCAGGGAAGCTGTGATACCACAGAGAACCTGAAGATAGACAACCCAATAGGTGAGGTTAAATATCAAAGGCAAGCAGTACTTTGTAAACAGCTTTGCTTGGGACCAACTTGACTACATTCTCTAGCTTCCTCATGCCATCTTTGTTGGGCATGTGTGTCCTCAATAAACTAACAAAAATTAAAAAAACAAAAGAACAGAAGTTGAGTTTGGGACATGTCACTTTCAGGAAAATGGAGAGGCACCCTGTCAAGTAAATAATTGGGACCTTGTCTTTCTTGTTTATAGCTATATTCCCTACAAGAGTTTCTGGTACACAGGAGGTCTTAATAAATATTCATTGAATAAGCAGATGGATGGGTGAACAGATGGATGGATGATGGATGGGTGGATGGATGGTTGATGGATGATAGATGATGGATAGATGCATGATGGATTATGAATGATAGATGGGTGGATGGACAGATGGACAGATGATGAATGGATGGATGATGGACAGATGAGTGATGGATAAACCAAGAGTACACTGTCATTGCAGGCAAGAGAAAAGTCTTTTGAAGAAGTGGTCAATCTGTTTTGTTCTGTTTGTCGTGAGCTCAAGGAACACAGACTTGTAACCTGCACAGAGCAAGTCAATCCCACCCACAAGGGCTTAAAGCCTTTATTTTGTCCCTTATTTTTTCATTATTTCTTCCTTCCATCGTTAGGCATGGGAGAATGGTGCCCTACGCAAGGGCAGTGGCCCCCTTTTAGAAGGCGCCTCTGGCTCTGTGGTCTATCCTGAGAAAGGCAGAGGAGGCAAGTGTCAATTCTATAAACAACTGTTACCACTCAGGTGCCAAATCTTTGCGCCTTTGGTGCCTTGTTTCCTCTTGGAGTGGGATAAAGACTGAATGAAAGTTGCTCTCTCACCTATGCTCTTTTTTCATAAAAGTGAGAAGCCTTAATTGGGAATTAGATGACAATGAAAGTGGAGTGGCCTGGAACTTGACGGGCCTTCTACAAATGGCATTATGATTTCAGATTTTCAATCATAGGAGAAGCATGCCCAGCAATGTGGCAAAAAGCATCTATCTAAGCCCCAACTAAACCAAAGTGCCTAGTCCAGGGCGCAGCAATATTCTGCATGTATGTTCCAGTCTGGCTGAATTCTATTCATGTCTGCATAGGAAAGGCAGTAACAGTAGATTGAATAATTCACTTGTAGTGAATAATTCACCTGCATGATCTGAAACCCTGTTGGTCACAAGACGGGAGGGAGCAGGGAGCCCTGTTGAAGAGTCCTAAGGTTGTGTAACTCCTGGTTGCTCATGAGTTTTGGAACTTGCGGTGAGCCTGTCCTCTTGAAAAAGTATCTAGAAGAGGATCGCTGAGATATCTTCCTGCTCTGCCTCTGAGACACAAAACAGCTGCAGGTTCTCTAGCAAATGCACCCTGACTCTGTCAGCCATCCAGGCTCCTCCTCTACACCCCCAAACCCACTACAGTCCAGACTGGTTCCAGGCAAGAAATACTCCTTCCATTTGAAAACCTGCATAAAGGAGGCAGAGAGTCCGAGCTGTGTCTGTGTCTGTGAGTGAGCTGGCACTGTCTGTAATCATTTCTTTCAGGTGGGATTATGTGTGTGATGAGGCATCGTGGGCCCCATTCAAGAACACTTGACCCAGACTCCCAAGGGTCACTGTCCTCAAGTGGCTCCCATACAAGATGGTCCAGGGTCCTATCACCACTTCTGTCCAAATTCTTTTAGCTCTAGAGGGACCATTGTTGAGCTGGTGTCCAGGGGATGGACTGAGAGGCCTTACAAGTAGCTTGCCACAATAATAGCTTCAATACGTATTTTTAAAATATACTATGTATATTTACATTTATAATTATTTCTGTTTTATAAATACAGAATAGCTGTATCCCATACACCTTTCCATAGCTTCAGGTTCTGCATTCACAGATTCAACCAAGTATGGCTCAAGAACATTTGGGGAAAAATTCCAGAAAGTTTCAAAGTGCAAAAGTTGAATTTGCCACACTTGGGCAACTCTTTACATAGCATTTACATTGTTTTTACAACTATTGATAGAGCGCTTGCACTAACTAATCAAGAGATGATTTAAATACACAGGAGGATGCATAAAAATGTTAGCCGCTCAGTCGTGTCCAACTCTTCGCAACCCCATGGACTGTAGCCCGCCAAGCTCCTCTGTCCATGGGATTCTCCAGGCAAGAATACTGGAGTGGGTTGCATGTAAAGGTTACATGCAAATACTGTGGCATCTGATACAAGGGACTTGGGCATCCACGGATTTTGGTATCCACAGAGGGGTCCTGGAATAAATCCCTTGCAGATACCAAGGGATGATGTGTATACAAACAGTTCAGCTGTTTCCAAGAAGTGGTCTTTCTTTACAACTTCGAGCAGAATCCAGCGCTTCCCTGATATTGTGACATGTTTTCGAGAAGGAGCCAGAACGAAGACAGCTGAGCTCCCTCTGTCTCCGCAGCGGCCTGTGGTGAGGGCGGTTTACTGGGGACTGAGAATTACAGTCTTGATTCACTTTTTGAGGGCCTCCCTGGGGACCCAGATGGTAAAGAATCTGCCTGCAATGGAGGAGACTCAGGTTTGATTCCTGGGTCAGGAAGATCCCCTGGAGAAGGGAATGGCTACCCACTCCATTCCTGAAGAATTCCAGGACAGAGGCGCCTGGGGGGGCTACAATTCATGGGGTCACAACGAGTCGGACACAACTGAAGACTAACACTTTCACACTTTTTGAGGAAACATCTGTGAGCCCAAGAAGCAAATGAAGCAAAATATAGTGGAAATAATATGGTCTGAATATTCAGACTTGAGTTCAAATTTTGGTCTTACTACTCAGTAGCTGTGTGACTCAGGAGATGAGTAACTCAGCCTCTCTGAGACCCAACCTCCTCAACCCATAAATGAAAGCATGAGAGTCGATTTTTCGTTGGGGACGTGAGGACCATGTGAGACCACACATGCAGGATTCCAGGCACAAAGTCCTGCCCAGACGAGAAACACCCAAAAGGTGGCTGCCACTATGATCAAATTAAGTTGTTCTTGAGCAAATTAACATGAAATTGGCAGAGGAAACTGGCATCCAGCAACCACAGTGAGCCCCAAACTCTATCTCATGACCAGCACGACTGCCCAGGGGCCCAGGTCATACACAGCTGGACCCTCTGTCCCGACACAGTGGTGGGAAGAAGAGGATTCATGATCACAAACGTACCTGGCTGCTGGATCCAGCTGTTCTTTCCTACAAGGAGAAAAAAACAAAGCATAAATTACATGCAACTGCTTCTCCTCTTCCTAATATCTTTTCTCAAGCTTCGTTTGCTGAAGATGCAGGAGCAAGGCAAAATGGTACATGTAGAGGGGGACCCATGAATGAGTGGGGCTTCCCCAGGCAGACTCTAGATCCCTCCTGCAACCTAACATGCCTGGTTCTGAACTCCAAGATCCCTCTCAGCCATTCATTTGTTTATTCCAGGGGTCCCCAACCTCAGGACCACAGACTGGTACCTCCTGTCAGATAAGCAGTGGCATTAGATTAAAAATAAAGTGTGCAATAAGTGTAATGTGCTTAAATCATCCTGAAACCACCCCCACCCCACCACCCAGTCTGGGGAAAAATCGTCTTCCACGAAACCTGTCCCTGGTGCCCAAAAGGATGGGGACCGCTGATTTATTCATCCAAAAAATGGTTCCTGAGCACCTACTCTGTCCCACACCTTGTACTGGGTTTAGGTGACCTGTTAAGTGGTGGGGACAGACCAGAGAACCAGGAATTAAATGAGATAGCACATATAAAGGGCTTCCCAGGTGGTGCTAGTGGTAAAGAACCTGCCTGCCAATGAAGGAGATGTAAGAGACATGGGCTCGATCCCTGTGTAGGGAAGACCCCCTGGAGGAGGGCATGGCAACCCACTCCAGTATTCTTGCCTGGAGAATCCCATGGACGGAGGAGCCTGACGGGCTACGGTCCAAGGGGTCTCAAAGAGTTGGACACGACTGAAGCGACTTAGCATGTGCATGCATGCACACAGCACTTATGAAAACAGATCTAATGTTATTCAGCCCTAGAGAAATATTACTGCTTATTGTCCTTCTTTTCCATTTCTAAGAACTCCAATAATCTTGACCCTGCTCATAAAAAGAACAAGTTCTGCTTACACAGTAAATTAACTGAGTCTTTTTGGTCAGGTACCTTCTGTTTCTTGGGCCTTAGTCTCATCTCCATAAATCTAATGATTCCAGAGCTGCAATGACAGACACTAATCACAGATGGTCATTGAAATTAAAATGAAAGAAAATAAAAAATTCTGTTTCTCAGTTGCACTGGCAATTAGATACTCAACAGCCACCTGTGACAAGTGGTTACCATGTAGGGTAGTGCAGCTACAGACAATTCTGCTATTGATATCACTTTCAGGGAACTGATCAGTGTGCATGAATTTTTTTTTGTTATTGTTGATGGTAAACAACATCCGATTTTTAACATCTGCCCACTTCTCTGCTTGTGCATTCGAATGCGTAACTTACTATCTGCCACCCACACGCCCCAGAGTCTTCCTGTAGCTTCTCAGCCTCCTACCACCTACTTCCACTAGGTCTACACAGTCTCCATGCTAAGTTGCTTCAGTCGTGTCTGACTCTTTGCGACCCTATGGACTGTAGCCCTCCAGGCTCCTCTGTCCATGGGATTCTCCAGGCAAAAATACTGGAGTGGGCTGCCATGCCCTCCTCCAGGGGATCTTCCTGACCCAGAGATTGAACTTGCATCTCTTACATCTCCTGCACTGGCAGGTGGGTTCTCTACCCCTAGCGCCACCAGGGAAGCCTCAGTCTCCATAGACCAGCAAATCAGAAGACCTGGGTTTGGTCTCTCCTGTGCCCAGCATCATGTGTGGCCTTGAGCAAGTTCCTGAGCTGGAGGCCTGTTTCTTCTTATCTAAAATTGGGGTTGGACTTGAAAGTCTTTAAGGTTCTTTGAAATTAAAAAGTAATGAGTATACAATTCTAAGTAATCATAAAAACAAAACAAAAAAGGCAATACCATCACTTATCACTGGTAGCCCAAAACATACAAATATATACATACACATTTCAATATATACACGTGTGTATACATATACACATATTCTTGCAAAATAACAAAGAACTACACTTGCTGGAAATGGATATGGCACTACTTTGAGAAATGGGCTACATAACTGCATCCTTCAAGATCTCTTGGAGGATTACAAAATCATGCAGCCACCATGGAAAACAGTCTGACAGCTTCTCCAAAAGTTAATATAGAGTTACGTATTCCACTCCTAGGTATATATCCAAGAGAACTGAAATGAGTATCCACAAACAGGTACCTGAATGTTTGTGGGCGTATAACAGCCCAAAAATAGAAACAACACAAGTGTGTATTAGCTGATGAATGGATAAATAAAATGGGGTCAATATCGTGATATATTATTCTGCCATAAAAGCAATAAAGTTCTGATACACAAGACAACATAGACGAAACTTGAAAATATTGTGCTAGGTAAAAGAAATCATAACATTATATTTATTTATTGTATTTATTTATTTGGCTGTGGCATATGGGCTCTAGTTCCCTGACCAGGGATTGAACTCAGGCCCCCTGCATTAGGAGCACAGTCTAGCCACTGGACCATCAGAGAAGTCCCAAGATTTTATTTTATATATGAAATATCCAGAATAGAGTGATAAAATAAATGTGTGGTTGCAGAGGCTGCGGGAAAAGAGGGAACCAGGGGTAAGTGTTAAAGGGCACTGGGTTTCTTTGAGGGATAATGAAAATGTCCAGGAATTAGACAGTGGTGATCAATATCCAACTTTGTGAATATGTTGAAACCCACCAAACTGTTACTTTAAATGGGTATCTTTTATGGTATGTGAAATCCTTTTGTAGTATATGAAGTATATTTCAATAAAGTCTTTTTAAAAATAAATCAAATAAAAAGCCTTTAGGAAGCAGGTAAAGACATACCAGTGTAATCAGCTACTTTTTAGTTTGCGGTGAAACCTATGGAATGGGTTGGAATATGGGGAACATCCTTTTCTCAAGGGACTGCCTTGTTCCAGAATGGTTGCCAAGGGAATTCTCTAGTGGCTTTAAACTTTTGTCCTTGAAAAAAAGAAAGAAATGTTCCCTCCTAGTCTAAAAGCCATTCCCATATCACAGCAGCTGTCTGAAGCACAATGTATTCTTCCGAGCCTCTGACAGCTAGGACAATGCCTTATTTATAATAAATCAACCCAAAAGAATGGGCCTATTGCCAAGACCTTGGGATGCAAAACAAACAGAAATCATCTTGATTCAGCGTTCAGTGTGGTTGCACAAACTCTGGTTTTGGACTTCAAGGTCAATCTGTTCTCTTCAGGAGAGGCAACCAGTCCATTCTAAGACTCTTGCTCTCTCCTAAGGGATTTTGATACTACCCCAAACTCAAAATGATTATAGCTACAATAGGAATCTGCCTGCAATGACAGAGACCCAGATTCTATCCCTGGGTCAGGAAGATCCCCTGGAGAAGGGAATGGCTACCCACTCCAGTATTCTTGCCTGGACAATTCCCTGGACAGAGGAGCCAGGTGGGCTACAGTCCTTGGGGTCGCAAAGAGCCGGACATGACTGAGCAATTCACACACACACAGAATAGAATTCTAGAATCAGAAGGAATCATAGAAAGTGTCTTCAGGGTGCGTGCATGCATGCTAAGTCTCTTCAGTTGTGTCCGACTCTTTGCAGCCCTGTGAACTATAGCCTGCCAGGCTCCTCTGTCCGTGGGATTCTTCCAGCAAGAATACTGGAGCGGGTTGCCATGCCCTTCTCTAAGGGACCTTCCCGGCCCAGGGATCGAATCTGTCTCTTTTATGTCCCCTGTATTGGCAGGCAGGTTCTCTACCACTAGCGCCACCTGGGAAGCTCATCTTCGGGGTAAGTAAATCTAATTTCGAGTAAGAAGATGCAGTCAGTAAACCTAACTCTACCATTCCATTATGGAAGTCTTGTTTCCCCTCATCTCCTTAGCTCTTCCACAAGTCCTCACTCCCTGAATTTCTGTGCCTCTGCTCATTCCCTTTCAGGTCCTCCCTCCATTCTCCCTTCTAGCTGTTGTTACCTTCCCATAAGCCCTCATTTCCTCTTCCCTGGAATCCTGAAATCATTTGTTAGCTGATCTCCTGATCCTGGGCCTGTCCAATCCGTCCTCCACACCCCTTCCCATCTTTTCCCTGAAACACATATCTGATCGTGTCATTCTCTGCCTTCAATGGCTTCTCTTCCCTTTCGGGATCAAGGTGAGAGTCCTTCATGAGTCATGTGTGACCTTCATGGCCTGGCCCAACCTTAGCATATACAAGGAGCTCAAAAATACTGATGAACTGAATGCCTGGACTAGAAGGTGCTATGTGCCACTAGACCCTCCTGGGACAGCACCACAGCTCCTGAGCTGGGAGAGGGAAGCACGGCCCTGAGGTTTTGGGGCCCTGTGGGTCATGGTCAGGTTTTGGATCCTGTTCTCTTTGTCATTGGAAAGGAAATGGCAACCCACTCCAGTACTCTTGCCTGGAAAATTCCATGGACGGAGGAGCCTGGGCTACAGTCCATGGGGTCGCAAAGAGTCGGACACGACTGAGTGACTTCACTTCACTTCACTTCTCTTTGTCATGGTTACCCATTGGAAGGTTTTATGCAGGGGAAATGAGTCAGTAGACCTCCATGTCCTCAGTGTCCTTAAATCTTCACCACAATCAGGCGATGGAGGTGGAGGGCATATTGAGGCCGAGTTCAGAGACTGGTCACAAGTCCCATGATGAGAATAAAAGGAGGTGGGAGGGAGTCACTAGTCCAGCGCTGGGTCATGTCATGATCTGTGAACCCAGACACATGGCAGAAACATGCTGCAGAGCGGGTGGGTCCCCCCTCCAGGTATGAGTCTGAGCCTCCCTCTACTTCTCCTCAAGGGTCCTAGCCGTCCAGCCTCCCACTCACACATTTAAAAATCCGAGCTCAGGATTGAAAACCTGGCAAGGTGCAGTCTGTTTCAGAAACCCAAGTAGTGACCACAGGCTTGGAGGACCCTAGATGCGGCTGACATTGGCCAAAATGACCAAAGTTTCTAAGCCCCAGTTGGCTCATTTGCAAAAGGAGCCTGGTGACACCGACCACCCAGCCTGTCTCCAAGGGCTTCTGTGTTAAAATCACCAGGGATGCCTGCTGGAGATGCTTCAACTATTCCAACGCCATTAAAATTGTTGAGGCCTTCCCTGGTGGCTCAGCGGTAAAAAAAACCTGCTTGCAGTGTGGGAGAACACAGGAGATGTGGGTTCAGTCCCTGGGTTGGGAAGACCCCCTGGAGAAGGAAGTGGCAACCCACTCTAGTATTCTTGCCAGGAAAATCCCATGGACAGAGGAGTCTGGCGAGCTACAGTCCATGGGATCTCAAAGAGTCAGACACGACTGAGCGACTGAGCACACAGCACAAAACAGATGAAGGATGTAGGACCCGCATGTCCACATCCCCCACTGATTACAACCTGTCTTAACATCTGAGAACCTCTGACTTATTTCACAGGGTGCCTGTGAGTATTAAATCAAACATCAACTCGTATTCCAGGAGCATATTGGATGTCCCATAAATATTCATTTCCCTCTCCCTTTTTATAGGTGCTGGCCATTGGAGACGGCATGTAATTTTTTTCCCTGAAGACTGTCATTTAATTTCTCACTTCTGAGAACACGAAACATCTCTGGGCCCCCAGAGGACTCCGCCAGCTGCTTCTTTGCCTGCCCTTTCCTACTGTCCAAAGTGGTCTGGGGGTGAAAGGCACGACTATCCTGGCCTCCAGGATGGCCAGGCTAGCCCATTGCACTCACTCCTCACTTCCTCAGCCTCTGACACTGCTTCAACATTGACTGGACCTTCTCTTTCAGCCACTCCACACTGCCTAGCTGGAAACCCTGGGTGACATCCTGAGGTCATCTGGGGAGCTTCAAAAAATAGTGGGCTGCACCCCGTACCTGCCTCCTCCCCCTGGGATTATGATTTAATCAGCCTGGGGATGGTCTGGGCATTGGGATATTTTAAGCTCTAAAGAGTCTAACATGAGGCCCAAACTGAGAACCACCACCTCCAGGACATTGTCCAGGAACCGTGAAGGCCACGGGCACACATACAGACCCGAGGAGGGGGTGGTGAGTCATGCCCTGAGCAGTCAGCTGAGCGGCCACTTGCCTGAAGAATGGAAAAGAGACGACTGATTCATAGAACCTCCACGTCGCCACGAGATCAATCCTGTTGGGGTTGGTAGCATAGTACCTCCAGGCGGCCTGGGGAGGAGAGACGAGGGGTGGGAGTGAGCTGAGGTCACCCAGAAGGTCACACGGAATCCCACAACATTGAAACAGGAAGCCCCGGATACCTACGGGTTCAGTGTGCACTGAGGTCATACCCAGAGTAGCCAGATTCTTGGCCTTTTGTAGCTCCTATGGGAGGAAAAACCTCCTTGACCTTATCATCTCAGATGGAGAAAACCGGCGTAGTAGAGGGTGGGGTGGAGAAGTGAATTACCGTGGAGAGGGGAATCTGGGTATAAGGGCCCTGAGAGGAGCAGGGGCTCCTCTTGCTGCACGATTCCTTGAGATTTCTCAAGTAGGTGCGAAGACAGACAGTCTTTCGTGCCACTTCTGGGTGCAAAAGACAGTCTGGCAGGTGAGGTTTTAATTCGAACACACTAGATCTTCGGTATACTGTGATGGTTTGGGGGTTGGGGAGGATAACAGGGCAGACTCTTAGAGACCAGAACTGACTTAGAAACTACACGGTGCAAGATAACACCGTGCCCCATCCTGTCTTAGCCCCACAGCAACGCTCACTACAACTGGAAGCAGTTTCATGAGTAGGAGGTCATGCAGACGGTCTGTCCCAGGCAGCCAGCCAGAGCCAGAACACTCTACCTTCCTATTCCCTCTGCTCCCAACAGCCCATAAAACCACGAAGCAGGAACTCTCTCTGAAGGAGAAGAGGGAACAGTGCCCCTCCCGCCATCTCTCACTATTGTTCCCAACTCCCAGCCCAGGGTCGGGGAAGTGAGAGGGAGGAACCCCTGGCAGGAGACCAGCAGCCGCTGCGGCACGGTTGTCTACTGGGTGGGATGAACGGTGAATCGGTCAGTATTTTGCACACATGGGCATCTCTCCCTCTCTGGACTTACGAGCTCTCTATCACGAGCAGACGTAAGGGCCCACACCTCCTTGCAGCTGGTTGGCTACGCACCTGTGCTCTAGGCTGACTCTTCATTGTGGGTTCCCCGTTCAAGACTGTGGTGAGAAGTAGGAGAGAAAACCTAGTGTGGACCCAAGTCCAGGCCAAGCTCTCCACTCCATCAGGGGTAAAACAGCTGATGGGTGGGCTCCTGTCTGAGTCCCGTGCCTAGGTTTGGCCTGGCTTAGAACTTGGATGGGAGAGTGATGGGATGGTCAATTTCAGGACACACAGAGTGACTAGTCAGAGAGACAAACCATAGCAACACCCAGAGTCGTGGCAAGCAGGCTTGGTCCTGGGTCCATCCCAGGTCACGGCGTGCCCATTCCTGTAGAAGCATATGGACGCACGAGTGCGCGCGCGCACACACACACACTCACACAGAGACACATGCACACACATACACACATACACACACACAGACATAGACACAACACACACACACATACACATAGACACACACACATAGACAAACACACATACACACAACACACACAGACACACACACATATACACATAGACACACACATATATACACATAGACACACATAGACACACACATATAGACACACACATACACACAACACACACAGAGACACACATACATATACACATAGACACACACACATAAACACACACACACCTACACATAGACACACACACACACAAACACAGATGTAGACACACACACACCACACACACAGACACACACACATATACACATAGACACACACACATAAACACACACATATACACATAGACACACACATAAGCACACACATACACATACACCCACACACAAACACAGACGTAGACACACACACACACACAGGCACAGATGCATGGCCCCGTCCAGTTCAGCCCCAGGCAGACAGACCTGGATAAGCTCAGCAGCGGGCTTCCTCCTTTTCTCAAAGTGCTTCTGACGGTGCTGCTCCTGCACCTTGAGCGCTAGCCCGGACCCCAGGATGCCCTGAAGGGAGAGGTCAGGCCCTGAGGTCAGCTCCCCAAGACTCCCCTGGAGCCCCACCCCGGCTCTCAGGCCCCAGTGATAACACCGAGCGAAGGGGAGAAGGAAAGATCCCTTCTTTGTCTTCCAGGGAGTGGGGGCTGGGTTAAGCGGGGCCTTGAAGTCAGGGTTCAGTTCCGGACTCTGCCACTTCCGGCAGGGAGACCCTGGCCGGCCTCTTCTCTGCTGCATCTCAGTTTTTTCCACAGGGAAGTCAGATAGCAGCACCCACCTCACAATTCTGTGAGGAAAAAAATGAGATAACGTAACAGGGACTGCCTAGTAAGGAGTAGGAGGTGCAACGGGTTCCCAGTTAATATTAATGGAACTTAAAAAATATTTTAGTCGCTTGAATTGTCATGTGAGACTTTTACTCTGGCTGGCACTTCTCCAAATTGTGATCTGTTTTGATTTTTAGGTCAAACTCTCACATAGAGTACATGGTGGGGGTGGGGGGGCACACCCCTTTCAAGTTGAGAGAGAATTTAGAGACCATGGCCCATGCTCATAGCCCCTCATCTTTTATGGATAAAGAAACTGAGAGTCAGAAAGGTCGTCTTCCCAAGGTCAAATAACTTAGGGAAAAACACTGGACGGCTGGGATTGACGAAGGGAGGGCTGCAGTGAACGAAGAAACTCAGTATCAAAAGGATAGGAGGCGAAGGGCGGGGAAGAGGGGTTGTTATACTGGGAGGTTCTTTTCAAGCTTTGTGATTAAGAGCCAGGCTTGAAGGAGCAGGCCTGGGTCCCTGGCTCTACAACCCAATAGCCCTGTGACTATGGAAGCTTAACTAACCCAATGAAGCCTCAGTTTCCTCATCTGGAAAATGGGGAGAAACGCACACCAAACTTCAAATGTTTTTACAAAGATTAAATGAGACAGTGTAGGGAAAGCACGTGGCATGAATCTAGTACACAGTAAGTTCAACAAATGCTGTATATTATTATTGTTGTTATGACACCAATGGGCACTGGGCTTTGGGGAAGTTATTCTACCAGGGATCAAGAATTTGAGGGAAATGCATTTTTCACACAAACTAGAAGATGACAGGGCAGAGAAGGGAACTCACAAATATAAAGGACTCACTATGTGCACAGAATATGGGGGTGAAAGACATAATCTCAGCCCCCAACAGGCTCACAGTCTCCCGGGGAAGCAGATTTGGAATCTGATATCCCAGGTGGGCTCAGAAATGCCTTTTCAGAGCAATACCCAGAGGATGGAGTGATGAACTCAGCCTAAAGAAGGCAGCACTGAACTGGGTCTGGAGGATAAACAACAGGTCCCTGTATAACACAGGGAACTATATCTAATATCCTGTGATAAGCCATAATAGAAAAGAATATTTAAAAAAAGAATATGAGCTCAGCTTGGTGCTCTGTGATGGCCTAGAAGGGCGGAATGGGAGGGAGGTCCAAGAAGGAAGGGATATATGTAAACGTATGGCTGATTCACTTAGTTGTATAGCAGAAAGTAACACAACATTGTAAAGCAATTATACCCCAATTTTTAAAAAAAGGATGCCTATATGTAGATGTGTCACTTTGCTGTAAAGCAGATGTTTACAACATTGTAAATCCACTATAGTTCAATAAAAATTTTTTTAAAAAAGAAACTCAGTCTTGAAAGAGGAGTTGGTGTTTGGGGGATCACTCCTGGCAAAGAGAGCCACGCAGCCTGTGGCAGAGAGACAGGAAAGCATGACACGGGGACAGCTGTGGAGTTGACGGGGCTGGAAATCGGGATACGAGAAGGTGGAAGATGAGGCTGGACAGTTGAGTTGGGGCCAGGCAGTGATGGATCCTGCCCATCATCGAGGGAGAACAGTGAGGGCACTCACGGCTGGCAGGGCAAAAAAGGAGACGCCGATTAACGAAAAGGTGGCTGCGATCAGACGGCCTTCCCACGTTTTGGGCGTCTTGTCTCCGTAGCCAATGGTGGCCAGTGTAATCTGAAAAGAGAGGCATTCAGACACGGGGCTTCCCTGGGGGAGGAAGTCAGTGATGTATCAGCTGACTTTACCCATAAGCCTTTGTACCGACTGGGGCATTGTCCCGTTTAGAATAAGACTCCAGTGGGAGAGAAGGTACTAAAGACCAGCGATCTTATATAGGAGCCTTGAGACCACATCTGCTTCTAAGTTAAGGATTTCTTCCCTGTAGTCAGTCAGTCAACAGATATTTCAAACATTGCAAATGTGTATCTGCATATACATTCATGCATATGTTTGAAAATGAGTGATTTTGTGTATGGCCATGACTCTGAATGTATGTGCTCCCGTGAATTTATTTACATATATTGTGTGTATAGGTGTGCGTGTCTAAAATCTGGGCCTGTGTCTGTCCAGGTGTATGCTGAATACTCCTCTGTGCATTTACACTTGTAGGTTATCAGCACACATGCACTTATGAACATGGAAGGCAGGCTACCAGAGTAGTTAAGTGTGGCCTCTGGAACCCAAATGCTTGAGTTCAAATCCCAGGTGAAGCACTAAGTTGGCTCAGAGATCTTTGAATTAGTGACTCAACCTCTTCAAGCCTCAGGTTCTTCAATTTGAAAGCAAAAGTGTTAGTCGCTCAGTCGTGCCTGACTCTTTGCGAGCCAATAGATTGTAGCCTGCCAGGCTCCTCTGTCCATGGGATTCTCCAGGCAAGAATACTGGAGTGGGTATACTGGAGTGGGTAGCCATTCCCTTCTCCAGGGGATCTTCCCAACCCAGGGATCAAACTCAGGTCTCCTGCATTGCAGGTGGATTCTCTACTGTCTGAACCACCAGGGAGCTAATAATAGGAGTTGTTTGCACTTAAAATGTGTTTATAAATGTAAAGTGCTTAAGCAATGCTTTAATACCACACGCCCGATGGGGCTGGGGCCATGTGTCTCTAGGTGTGTTTGAGGGTCTGGGTATATACACGTCTGCATCTGCCACTGAGTCTGCCCAGCACAGCCTGGCTAATGACAGGTAAAGTCCCTGGGTGACCGTGGGATGCAACTGATCAGAGCCCTGACTTCTGGGGAAAAGTCCCCCTTCCAAGGGCCCACCCTTCAGGGTGCGTCTCCCAGGGGGAGGTTCATAAATGGAGGTGCTCTCCTCTCCCCCGTGCTGAAGAACACAGCTGCCCAACCCCATACGTCCACATCACGCCCTCCATGTCCTTCCTTCCCTCCAGCTGACCCCCACGGGGCAGCCTTCAAAGTGGTGACTCACCAGGCCCCACCACAGGGCATCCGCGTAGGTCTCAAATTCCTCTTTCATCTCTTCTCCTTGGGCATCCACCTCCGGCACATCTTTCTCAACCAGGTAGACAAGAAATGAAGAGAGGATGAGCGTCAGGAACCCGATGTACCAGGCGGTGATGAGCTCCTGCGACAGCAAGCAGTGGACAGGGAAGGGGTCATTGGTGGAGGCTTGGAGGAGGCTGCAGGCAGACACCCTGGAGCTGGAGTGCAGGTTTCTCAGCTCTGAGACACGGGCAAGTTACTCACCTTCAGTGATCCTCACCTCCCATCACTGCAAGATGGGGGTCAGTACTGTGGTCATTGTTTCATCACTAGCAGAATGAGGGGATGTTTCTAGAAGGAGAGGGAGAGCCCTGTGGTCACTGTATCACAGCTCAAGAGGCTTCACGGGGAGGGGAGAAGGCAGGAGGGATGGGCCGCTGCCTCGGAGACAAGGCTCGGGACTCAGGAGACCCTATGTTATGTGGGATTGGGCAGAACAACGATAAAGCTCTTTCCACCGGGAAAGTGACAGTGAGGGGGAATTATCCTGGCAGAGAGGACAGAGCTGTGGACGGGGACCCAGCCCAGCCACTAACTGTGTGACTCTGGGCAGGTGACCTCTCCTCCCCAGCCTCAGTTTTTTCATTTTATAAATGAAGGGCCTGAACCACAGAGTTTCAAGAAGTGCCACAGATACTTCAAATGCAGATAGGCATTTTTTATACAAGTAGTCACATACTGATTTAAACCATATTAGCATAAATTAAACATAAAACCATTATTTCGTGGATATGATCACATGATAGACTAGGATATCCTCGAAAACAAGAGTGAGCTGATTTAACGGAAAAATGTTAAGGGTGGTAACGGTAAGGGTGGTACAGAGACATGCCAAAGATGGGCAAACCGCGGAAGTTTCAAACACCCTGACCATGACAATCCCTGAGGCACTTTCTATGTCTCGCATTCTATTCCAACTCCAAGGGTTACCCTGGTAGGTTAGGCAGAAGAAAGTCAAGGTCATGGGCAAATGCAGTCTGGACATTAGGCCTGACATTCCTGCTAAATCATCACGGAGAATGAAGCCATTCATATCGACAGAGTTCATCTATCCGACCGTCCTCGGCCAATCAGCTGGCCTCTGGGTCCATCGCATCTCGCTGACATGGCTGCTTCCAGCATCCCTCTGGGCCTTTGCTCACATTGGTCCTCTGTCTTCCTGGCCCCTCCCTGGGGGACCAACCAGAGAGCACCGAGTCACCTAAGACTCGTGTCATCTCCATTACGAGAGCTTTCTGGATGTTTGCTCCCCCAACTAGAGCGAGCTTTCATTTCTAGCTTTTTTTTCCTTCTATGTCTTTATCATTTTCTAAACAGATGTTAAGTCTCTATTATGCTCATTCACTCATAGGTCTGACCTTTGCCACAGCATCACATGCCCGGCGCACCTGTGTGAGTTCACAGCAGACAGAGGTTAGTTGAGATGCTGTAGGCAATCCAGCAGCCCTTCCCCTCCGTCAGAGTCCACTCCACCGGCGTTTGAGAAGGAAAGGATGAAGTGGATGGTCCTTCCCCAGTCACGAACCTTTCACCCTGTTGAGTGTGATTCCAGCGTGACTACGTTCTTTCATACGCTCCACCTCCAAATGCTGAACCAGAGAAACAGCTGTCTGTGTGCGTATGGAAGTCCCGGCTGTGTGGATGAAGAGCTGGCACAGTGGTCACTGGGAGGGAAACGAGTCCCCATTCTGTGCCTTGCAGCCACGCAAGGGCCACTCAGGAAATTCTGACGACGCAACGCTCGCCAGCTGCTCCACGGCAGTGGCCGCTCCCCGACGTCCACGGGCTCCTGCACACGCCTGAGCCCCCCAGCAGCCAAGTGGCAGCCGACAGTCTGGGGTCCAGCCCAAGGGAGTGATGAGGGCTACTTCCTGTTAGGTCCATTCTAGAGGATGCTCACAGGCCCACTTCCCTTGCCTCGGCGACTCAAGGCTCATTCCCAAGACAAACCAGGACCACTCGACCCACATCAGACACGTGTGCAGGAGAAGACGCCCACATTTTTGTGCTAAGGCACAGAGACTCCAGGGCTCATTTGTTCTGGGAGCAGAGTCTGACCAATCCCAACTTCAGTAAGAGCATTAAAGTCTTACCCTGTGTGGGCCCCTCACTCTTCATCTCTGAGTTTCTGGGAGAGTTAAGCATGGAACTTGGCCCAGAGAACACATTTTTTGAATGAATGAATGAAGAAATGAATCGGTGTTTGTTCACCAGGTTCAGAGAAGGAACAGGTCTAACCTCCTGCAGTTGGTAAATGCTGGACTCAAACTCAGGCAAGCGCTTATACTTTCTGAACACACTGCCTGCCCAGGAAGTGAAAGCCAGCCCTGGAGCCATGCTGGGACTCAGGGGCAGTGAAAGGCTGAGGCTCGTCCAGTGGGGACTGCTGGGGGGAAAGACGGGGCATGGAGCTGGCCACGCAGTCGCTCTGTCTGCCTTAGGTCTCCTACTGCAGACCTGTGATTCTGTCCTGAAGTTCCACCCCTCAGCTGCAGTCGTGGGGTCCGGCTGTGGCATGGGCCATCTGTTCCCAGGAATTACATGGCAAACATGCAACTGTCATATATTCTAATCTGATGGAACATAGGACGAGGACCTTGCCCAGCCATTTTTAGTCCTGATTTCCACCAAAGCTGTGAATCAGCTCAGCTGCATGGATACAAGCTTAGGTGTTGCTAATATATCCTCTGATAAAAGATAAAATAGGGACTTCCCTGGTGGTCTAAGTGATTGAGACTCTGTGCTTCCAATGCCGGGGGCATCTGTTGGATCCCTGGTTGAGGAACTAGGGTCCCATATACCAGACAGCATGGTCAAATAGTAATAATAACAATAAAATAATGAAATAGTTCAGGTGAAGAAAGAACTCTCTCTCACACACACACACACAAACTGTCTCCCTGAGCCTGTGGCCAGAAGTGGAGCAGACACGGAATAAAACATGTATGGGAAGAAATTGAATTTTCAGATGTGAGACTCTAAGTGTTTTAAATTTGTATTTCATTTTCTTTCTGTATTTATTTGTACTGTTTGGGATAATACATGCTACTACTAATGAGCACTGATTATTCGCCAGGTACTGACACGTAACTTGGCTCATGTGAGCAGCCAGAAGTATTCACATTTTAACCACTGAGGAAGCGCTCATGAAAAGAGAGCAGCATTCTTAAAGTCTTAAAGTCTCGAGGGCGGCAGGGCTGCCATTTGCACCGAGCTGCTGTCTGACTCTTAAGCTTCCATTCATCCTACATGAGATGCTGACATGTCTGGGTGTGCCCCTGAGCTGGAGGAATCCAGGAGCTTTGCAGGGCATTCTGGGCTTGCCCAGGTTGGGGGGCAGGTGCTGTTAAGACTTACAGGGAAAACTCAGAGCTCCTCAGTGGTAACTCAACCCGGGCTCTCTGCTTTCCCTGTCGTTCCCCAGAAGCCAAGTTTGAGACGGGGATTTAGGAGCGTGTGAGGGCTTCCCTGGTGGTTCAGATGGTACAGAATCCACCTGCCAGGAGATGCAGGTTCGATCCCTGGGTTAGGAAGATTCCTTGGAGAGGGAAATGGCAACCCACTCCAGTGTTCTTGTCTGGAGAATCCCATGGACAGAGGAGTCTGGCAGGCTACAGTCCAAGAGGTCACAAAAGTCAGACATGAGTGAGTGACTAAGCAACAACCATGGTGACTGAGGGCGGGTCTGGGGACAGAGGGAATGAGGGAAGCGGACAGGGCGGAAGAAGGAGCTCGGCAAGGGTGTGCTCCGCGCTGGAGCCCCCCTCAGCCTGATTCCACGGGAAGCTCTGGAGCTTGAGCCACCCCACAGGGCTGGTCCCGTCACCAGACAGGTCCGGGTGTCAGTGAGTCACCGGCTGCGGGCCTCCCTGATGGGGGAGGCGGAAGCTGAGAACAGTATAAGCCCCTGGGCCGGGCAGCTCTCCTGTGCTTCTCCAGGGGAGGGACAGCTGGGAACATTAGCAGCCAGCTCTCAGAGCAGTTAAAGGGCTGAGTACATCCTCCCAGGAACGGGGGCCTGCTCCAGGTGCCAACCGTGTACACTGTACCCACCAGGGCTGGCACAAAAAGATGCTCACTCAGGGATGAAGGCAGCTTTCACTTTATCCCCTGAAGCAGGGGTCCCCGACCTCCAGGATCTAATGCCTGATGATCTGACGTGAAGCTGATGATTTAATAATAATAGAAATAAAGTGCAGGATAAATGGTAATGCAGTTGAATCCTCCCGAAACCACCCCCATCCCCGGTCCGCAGAAAAACAGTCTTCCACAAAACTGGTCCCTGGTGCCGAAAAAGCTGGAGACTGCTGCTCTAAGGAACACGCATCTCAGGAGCTCTTTGCTCTGATTTCTCCTGAATTGGCCTCTGAGTGTTTTTTTTCCCTGCCACTCAGAGGTTTTTCCTTCATTTCTCCAGGGTCCAGCCAAGGCAGGGATATTGAAACAAAGTGGTACCAAAGGTTTGGGCTAACCACAGGAGAGACACACAGCGCAGGTCCGCTCCAGACACACTGGCCTTGCCCTAGGTTTCACTCCTGCTCAAGCACATGGAAGTCTGGGCCAAGCCCCACTTGGCCTGAGCTTCTCATCTGCCTTGTAGAGGCAAGAGCCCCCATGACAGGTAGCAAACCACTGAACATGGGCTCTGAAGCCAGACAGCCTGGGCAGCTCACTTCCTCTTTCCGTATCTGCTTCCTTATCCCCGAACTGGGGTAAGAATAGTGCAGATCCTGGGGCGAGCTAATCTGTATCAAACACCAAGTTCAGGCACTGTGCTTCTGGCTACATGATAACAATAGTGACCAAGCCACCACAGCTAGGCGCTGAGTGTGCTTTAAGTCCTTTCACCCTATGAGCTGAGTGCACATTATTCCCGTTTTATAAATGCAGGAGAGAAGACCCAGAGGTGTGTGTCAGTCACTCAGTCATGTCCGACTCTTTGTGACCCCGTGGACTGTAGCCCGCCAGGCTCCTCTGTCAGGGGATTCTCCAGGCAAGAATACTGGAATGGGTTGCCATTTTCCTTCTCCAGGGGGTCTTCCTGACCCAGGAATCGAACCCGGATCTCCTGCACTGCAGGCAGATTCTTTACCATCTGAGCCACCAGGGAAGCCTCGAGGGGTTACCGGAAGTCTCCAGAGTCACACTAGTAAAGTTTAGATTCCAACCAGCCTGGGTGACTTCCTTCCACCCCACGCTGCTTTGCATTAGAGGCAGCGGCATTATCATCCCTGTGTTGGAAAGAGGAAAACTGAGGTCAAAGAGGGTTGAGTGATGCGGCCGGTGTTGTTTGCATCTGGTCTACCTGTGCCTGCATGCTCCACTGCCCCACCACCATCAGTGGTGGCAGGACCCTCCGGGGACACCGTCTGGGAGGGGATGCCGTGGACCGGAAGCGGGTAGGAAGGAAGCAAGCCCCATGGTCCGGGGGCTTCTCAGCGGCACTTACTTTGCTGTGGGCGCAGATGGCCGAGCCCAGGAGCTTCCAGGTGCCGCCCCTCCGGTCCATTCGCAGCATCCGAAGGATCTGCAGGAAGCGCAGGCTCCGCAGGGACGTGGCCAGGACGTTGCCCTGGTTTCCCACGGCAACCACCGGCACTGAAGCGATCAGCACGAAGATGTCTGGAAAGAGGGCGGAGGGTGGCAGGTGAGAGGGGGAAGGAGGTAAGGCCAGGGTGCAGGAGCCGTCATGGGCACTGTTGCCCACAGATGGGCAGGTGCCGTGTTAAACCGTGACACTGAACAGGTATCCTGTGTAGGATACGCGTTCTTCTGAGACAGGTAACGAAACAGGAGCTCTGAGTGTGAACCCCTTTCCAGGGCCGTGTAGCCAGATGTGGCCAAGTTGGGATTGGATGCAGAACTCCAGTGCTCACTCCAATCCCAGGGAATTGATGCTCCAAGACCCTCCAGGGGTGGTTCTTTGGGGGGGGGGGGGGTCCCTCTCTGGCTGAGAGGGGATTGGGGCTGCCCAGGTGGAGGAGGGGAGGTCTGAAGCTCAGAGGCTGTTTGACTGTGGGTTTCCCCTTCCTTGGTGGCTGAGATGGTAAAGCGTCTGCCTGCAAAGCCGGGGACCCGTGTGCGATCCCTGGGTCGGGAAGATCTTCTGGAGGAGGATGTCAACCTCCTCCAGTATTGCATGGCAACCCACTCCAGTATTCTTTCCTGGAAAAATCCCATGGACAGAGGAGCCTAGTAGGCTACAGTCCATGGGGTTGCAAAGAGTTAGACATGACTGAGCGACTTTATTCACTTCACTTTTACTTGCCCCTGTAAGCAAACCCTGAGAGGGATGTGGCTGTGGGTGACTGAAAGGGAGATGAACTCAGGAAGCAGAAGGGAGGGGAGAGGGAGGCAGGGGAAAGGCCAGGGCAGGGGTCTTGTGGGGGCTGCTGCTGCTGGAACCTCAGAGCTGTAGGCAGAACACCTCCCACCATCATCCCTCTGAAAGATGGGAGCTGGGGTCTCTGTCCACAGGCTCCTGGCCCCTGCTGGCCGTGGGGGTCATCAACATCCCACACTTCTGAGCTGCACTGCCCAGTGACCTCCCTCAGGTTCACAGAAGGCCCCGCGGCAGGGTGCAGGAAAGCATGGGACCCGCCCCAGAAATGGGGGGCTGCTGTCAGGAGGTGACCCGGAAACGTCCACCAGAGCTGCAAGCAGAGGCCAAGGGGGTGAGGCAGTTCTCAAAGGGCCAGGCTGGCTCCTGAAGTTAAACGGTCAAAGATGGAAGGAAGAGGGCCCTGGTCTCTTTCTCATTCCCTTCAATGCTCCTCCCCCCAACTCCAGGATCTATTATGTCCTGCACTGCAGGGGACTAGCAAGCACAAAGGATCCCGTGATCCAATAAATTAGGAAAAAAAATCAATTAAACAGGTTTTACTACTGCAGGACTTCTCAAAGCCTGTAATGTACTAATATGTCCTGTGGTTCTTTCACTTTTACCAGTGAAGTCCAGCCTTTCTCGAAAGATTTCAACCACAGAACTGTTTAGTTCGTTCTATTTTTGCAAGGGTATCAGGGTACAAGGAAGACACCTGGAATGTTTATCCAATGGGCCAAGTCCAAGCTTCTAAAAACCCTCTGTGACCCAGCCCTAGGGAACCTTCTAGAAGCATGTGTGATTTTCTGAGTTCACGGTGGTCTCTCACATCTCCATACCTTTGTTTGTGCCAGCCACCCTGCTCGGATTAGGCTCCTAAATCCACACCAAGTATCTCTGCCCCAAAAACCTGGCATCCTTTCGACCATGTCAAAGCGTCTCCCAGATGTGCCTAAACTCTGGGAAAAACTAGGGGTCAGACATCTGGATACCAGTATATCTATATGCTTGGTCAGGCTTCTCTGTCTAGCTGTGCAAAGATAGCCACTTTTCAGGTTTGCAGAAAATAAAACAAAACTGAGACACAGGGTAAATGTGATGTAAGTCTATGACCCTCTGACACAAGGACAGCAAATTTCAGCCCAGACAGACTCATCCACAGTGACACGGCAGGGTCTGAGCTGTTTCAAATAAGGAGGACACGATACACGTGCACAGGATAACCACCTCTGGTCAAACAGAGGAAAGCAACTCTTCCCATGAGGGCCATGTTACGGGAGACGTTAGATGAGCAGAAGAGAAAATGCAGCAACATCAGGAAAGAAGCCAGCCAGGATGGTGGAGGCTGAGGACCAGTCTCATCTCCCCAGAAGGGACAGGAGGGGAATGAAAGCTGGAGCTCTCTCACGATCCTAGAATCCTGAGACTGTTCCATAGGAAATGCTCCTGTTCTGGTGGGGCCTGGGCTCCATATACTAGGATTGCTCTAAGTTGGCAGGGATCTCAGAGTTTGGACACTGTCAATCTCAAAGTGACCTCCCTCATGCCCTGCCCACACACACACACACACACACACACACACACACACACACACACACTTCTGGTCAGCATTGGATAGGTCACCCCAAAGATGAAAAAGAAGTCAGCTTGACACATTATTGACCAGAGACATATTAACACATCTTTTGTTATCTGAACATTATTGATCAGAGATGTTATCAATATGCTTTTAGACAGTGATACAATTAACACCATTGTGTGAAGTTGTTAGAGCTTAAAGTTGAACAAAGGTTCATTATACAACTTATATTGTCATTATCATTCACATTTTGCTATGTTAGGTTTTTGTTCCAACCCTGTGTATATTATAAATGCAAATTTATTACCATAAAATTTTCAAAAATGATGCATCATGAAGTTTTGGGTGAAGAAGAATTTTTTGGTGAGTTTCATGCAGATACTTTCTCTGACTATCTGAGCAACATATATACCAGTGTCTCAGAAGATGATAGTTCTTCAGAATATAGCTCTGATTCAGATGATGTGAATAGTAGACCAACAAAAAGACAAAAAAAATCTCAGTGACTGATTCTGATACAGGAAGCGAAAATGAAACACAGTGCTGGAGAATGCTCCTTTGCTTCTCTACATAAGAGTAGACTGAAGACAACATTTCACAAACCTTAGAAGACTTTACAGGTGTATCAAGGGTAACTATTGAGTATAATGACACACAAAGTGTTAGTGAAATAACAGAATTAATTTTGGCTGGCCAGAATAAAAATCACCAGCCACAGGCACCAGTTTCTGCAAAAATCCCCTGGTCAATAATGAGTTAAGATGTGAAGGACAGACAAGGAAAAAGGAAGGCAAAGGAAAGTTGGGGGTTTGATAGACTGAATGTTTGTTTCCTTTCAAATTCATATATTGAGTGCTGTCTCTTGGTGTGATGGTGTTGGGAGTGGGGCCTCTGGGAGGTGAATAGGTCTTGGGGGTGGAGCCCTCATGAAAGGGATTAGCGCCCTAAAGAAAGAAAGACATTCCAGAGAGCTCCCTTGACCCTTCGTCCTTGTGAGGACACAGCAAGAAGACAGTGTCTATGAACCAGGAAGAGAACTCTCACCAGAAACTGACACTGCTGGCACCCCAATCTCAGACTTTCAGCCTCCAGAACTGTAAGAAATAAATTTCTGTTATTTATAAGCTACTCTGTCTGTGGTACTCTGTTACAGCAGCTTGAACAGACTAAGACACAGGTAGAGAGTCAGGGAAGGAGGGCAGAAGAAGAGAGAAAAAAATGTGGAAAAATTAAGCAACTGAAAAGTTCTCCAAAATTGCACGTGTGCATACACACACACAGCCCCCTACCTGCATTCAAAATTCTGAGCACTAGAAAAAACCTCAGATTTCCAGCCTCAGCAGCAGATGGGAAGAAGAAAAAGGGCTTCAGCTGACAGTGAGGGTGGTACTGTCCTCGGTGTGAGGCAGCCTGCAAACCTGGCAACTTAGTCCCAGGTGATACAGAGGGAAATTGGTAGCTAAGATAGAGCAAGGGTCTAGCTCTTCCTCCTTGGGCTGGCCATTCACACCAAACAGGGTTGTATTCAGTCCTGGGGGTCAGTTTTCAACAGGGTAGTGAGCAAGAACCTGCAGCTCAGAGGGGAGGGTCTGTGATGCTAACAAGATGGGATGTAAGATAGGGTTGAAGCCACGAAGCACATCTTTCCTGAGGAAAGGAGACTCTGCTGGAGTGGAGAGGAGGAACAGAATGGCTGAACTCAAATATCTGAAGAGAGCCAGAGGAGTTAAGATGGAATGAATAACCTTGAGAGGTGGTGAGTGCCCTGTGACTGGAGGTATGCAAGTAAAATCTGGGGTACCACGTAAAGGCTGCTGTGAAAGGAGCTGGAGCAGCAGACAGGAAGGCACGTTCAGCCAAATGCTCCTGAAGGTTCCTTCCAGCCCCGATATTCTATGATCCTCTAACTTTAACTGTTTCTTGGAATTTGAAGATCCAAGAGTCCTAAGCATCCCTGCAGGCAGATTTCGTCCTGTCTCTGTATGATTTTAGTAGGATCTTCAGATGGGAACCTAGGTGGATTAGGGGTGGAGGTGGGTTCTATCCTGCACCAATAGGGGTGTGTGAGAGCTTCCACCATCTCTGCTATGAAAATGCCTGCATCCAGATGGAGGGGTAACCGTGACACATCCCCAAAGCAACTTTTGGGTCAGGACACAGCAATGTGGGGTTGCCACCTCTCAGAAGCGCAAAGTGCTAGATTCTTGCAGACCTGGGTGTTAGGATGGAATCTGCTCCTTACTCCCTGTGTGACTGGAGAAGGACTCAGAACCGTGAGCCTCAGTTTCCACCTCTGTAAAATGGGCATCATGTGATCCTACAGAAGTAATTCTCAACCAGCAAGGTTGTCACACTTTCTAGCTCCACTGTAGCCAGTTGGAATGCAACTGGCAATTGTGGCTTCACAGGGACTGGGGATGTGCAGTGTCCTCCAATGGCTGGCACCTTTGCATTCCAAATGCCAAGAGCACCCCCCACCCCACCCCCGTGAAGAATGCCTGACCTGTGGACTCATTCTAAAAAGAAGCCGCTGGGGCAGGAACTCAGTACCTGCTGGAGGGTTGAAGGGAGTGTGAGAGGCGAGGCCGGCCCCCACTAGGTTCAGGGTTTCCCAGACAAATTGTGTCGGCGGCTTAAAATTGCCTCTGAGAAACAATGCACCCAAAGAGGGGACCGAGGAGCCCCTGGGCTCGGGGTCAGGGCTCACCCAACATGCACAAGGGCTTTCTGGCAAACTTCAGTCGTCCCCGCCAGCCTTTGTATCGGCAGCAACAGCCGGCAGCCCAGATCCTCAAAGCAAACTCGGCTCCGAAGATGAAAATAGCAAATGTTTCCTGCGTGGAAGAACATATGGAGAGACGCTGATTAGCTGGGACCCAGTTGTCCGGAACCAGCGATTTCTGTTCTGAACTTCTGAAGAGTTGGATTTCTGTGGTTGCCGGTTTGATGGGCGGAGGGGTTAGGACAAGCTGATCACCTCCATTCAGGGCGGGGCAGCTCCTGTCTTCACTCTGATGTGCTAGCTGTCCCGAACACTAAGTCTTTTTTTCCTACACTTTTTTTTTTTCTAATGGATCATTTCTTACAAATTCCTTTAATGTACTAAAAAGCCCCTAAGAAGTTCAGTTGAGTTGAAAGGAGAGGAATTGATGGAATTGTCCACAAGTTGTCTGGCCCCTGGTATTGCTAAGTGTGGCCAGTGGTTATTGAGCACAGTTCCTGGGCCAGGAATCACCAGAGGTATTTTATAATATTACCCTCATCTTATATTTTGAGAAACCAAGGCCAGGGAAGGAGTGGCTGAACAAATGTTTCAAGGTCAAAAGTGGCCAAGAAGGAATTCCAGGCAGGTCATCAGGCTCAGAGCTCAGGTCCCTTAGGGTCAAATTGTGCTACTCTCCCCCCCAGGACACAGAGCCTGCTCCCTTCCTCCCAGGCCTCCCGTGCTGATCAGACAGAGACACTCTGCTCCTTCTGTTTGGCGCCTTCCCTGGGGCTCTTGGGGAGTTGCAACAATCCTTGAAACTTAGTTCCTGGAACTGGCTGGCTTCCCAGGAGTCACCTGCTCAGGTCTCAGCTCCAGACCTGCCCTGAAAAGGAACCTGCTGGTTCGGACCCCACGGGCAGCATGCTTAGCTCATCAAATTAGGGTTTATGAAACAGCAAGACCCCCCTAATTGGGGGTGGGGGCTTGGCATCCTTCCCTTGTGCAGAGGGCAGGGCCTCACCCTAAACAGGTGGGCTGATCCTAACCAAGGTACGGTCATTCAAAGGGCCAGTTGGTCAGTGCTGTCCGGGGTCATAGCAGGAACTTCTTCCTGGAAGCCACCTCCTGGCTGGGCATGGATGCTGCAGTCAGCCCATCAGTCTGTGCTCCTCGCCTTACATTTCTGCGTATCGTAGGTGAGGATGGGAGGAAGCTGAGTCAGGGGAGTTAGGTCATTTGCCCAAGACTGCTGCCTGCGCACTGTTTCCACCACACGTGGGATACAGACCGGACAGTGAAAACGGACAGGGGCCCAGGAAGAAGGACTTGGAGTTTTCATGCAGAAATGGGATTTGGTACTTGGCCTTGAAGGAAGAGGTCCTCAGGGTTTGGGCAGGAAAAGCAGAGGCAGGGTTTGGAACTGAACATGCCTTAGCGTTACCTGTCAGAAGATTTTATCGTTTAGCCAATGCTTTGACTTCAGTCGTGTCCCCTTTTCTCTAATCTGGAATAACACATGCCATTCGCTCTCTGCTCCACCTGTGCGCCCGGAAGGCCTCATCAACCGGTTTGCCATTGCTTCCTCTTACTTCTGGACTTGGCCGGAGACTCCAGGAAACCAATAGCAGTTGTGGGGAAACCGCACCCATGGGCCTCCTTGTCCTCACCGCTGGAGGGCCCACCAGAGCGCCTGCCCCAGAAACATGGCACCACGCCGGGCACACAACTCACCAGCAGCAGAAGCCAGTCTCCCGAAACAGTCTCGTACTCCCTGAAGGTGGTCAGGACGGCCAGGATCAAGCACCCCAGAACAATCAGGAACCTAGAGGGGAAGGAAGAAAGAAACTAAGGAAGTGCCTTGTTCTGGATTGTGCCGAGGCTAGGCAGAAGAGTAACAGCCAGGATGAAGCTACAGTATCCATCAGACATAGGAGTGGGCTTTATACGTTATCCCATATACGTTATCCCGTTTAACTTCATAACACAGCTGTGAGGCAGCTAGGCAGCTAGTTGTAGTTAAGGAAATCAGGTTTGAGAGAGCAACATGCATAACTTTACCAGCTAGTTAGTGGAAACAGTGAGAATTTGAGCATCTGGTCCCAGCCCTAGAGGACTGCAGATTGCCTGACAAGCCAAATTTACTGCAAGCTTTGGTCAATCAACTGGAATATGTTAATAATGGGTGCTGCACATACAGGACTATGACCTTCAAACATATGAAAATATTCTTAGAATAAAAATAAATTCATCTGAAGATTGATAAATTCAATGAAAGTCTCTGTTACCATTATCTTCATATTATTATTATTATTGTTTACAGTCAGTAGTTACTAAAGGAAATCATCTCTTTCAATTGGGGGATCTTCAGAATCGTTTCTGAAATTACCAAGTGTGTTTCATGCTAGAAAGAATCCAAGCCACCATGATGCAGAAGCCACTCATTGAAAAGTCATTGAGAGCTCATCTGGTTCATGCCCCTGCCTCAGGCAGAAGCTAACTGCAAACAATCCTCTGAGATGATTGTATTTATAAACTCCCTGTGTGTGAGTGAGTGAGGGTGGTGGAGAGACAGTGTGTGTGTGTGCACGCGTGCGCGTGTGCTTCATCATTTCAGCAAAGAAAACAGGTTCCCCCTCCCTCTTGGTGGGGAGTCTTTGGTTCAATGGTCAGCATCAGGTTCTCTGGGTGTCTAAGTGAAAGTGTTAGCTGCTCCATCGTGACCCTGCTTTTTGTGACCCCATGGACTGTAGCCCGCCAGGTTTCTCTGTCCATGGAATTCTCCAGGCATGAATACTGGAGTGGGTAACCATTCCCTTCTCCAGGGGATCTTCCTGACCCAGGGATCGAACATAGGTCTCCAGCACTGCAGGCAGATTCTTTACCATCTGAGCCACTGGGAAACCCTGGTGTCTAAGAGCGAAACTAAAAGACAGTGTCCATGCGGGAGTCTTGGTACCACATACTCCAAGTTCTCCTGCTCTACGTAATCCGGTGCTGTGTCCTTCTAGGCTCCCATCCATGCTTTTTCGGTTTGTTTATGTAAGTGGGTACCCACTCGTGGATTCATCATCCATCCATCGAATATTTATTTATATGGTAGGCACTGGGGGAGGCAGAGCTGGAATTCAATGATGAACAAACTGGATCTGTCCTAAGCTGACGGTCCTGACAAACAAAAAAACAACTCATGGTGTGATGGTAAGGACCATGATGTAAGGAGGTTTGGAGATGTCTGCTCCTGGAGCTGGCTTGGACCGGAGTCCTGGTCCCACCCCCTGGTGATCCTGATTGCATTTTCTGATCAATAGTCCTGGTGACCTGCAGATATGACTCTGTCTCCAACCGTGTCTAGGAACCCAAATAAGATTTTCAACTCCCTCCTGTTTGGCCATTTTATTTTAAATTCGTGACACATGCAGAACCTGCTTACTCTTCATCTGAGTCTCTGGTGATGATGATGATGATGATGATGATGGTAACAATCTCAACACCCAACACCACTCTTTAGTGAGCAGTTGCCACCTGCCACCTTACACCTATCAGCTCATTTATCCTCACAATCTTCTCCCAAGGTAGATATGATCATTCCCGTTTTAGCGATAAAGAAATTCATCAGATAGAATCATTACCAGCAGGATAACTGTGTCATCAGTAAAAAGACTACAGAGATTTTCCCAACCCAGGGATCAAATATGCGTCTTCTGCAACTTTTGCACTGCAGGAGCATTCTATACAAATATGAATAAAAAACCTAGCCCTCATTTTCAAGGACTTCCTAGTCCAGTGGGGGAAACAGGACAAATAACCATATGAGAGTCTGGCTGAGGTTATCATCTGAGTGTCCACCACAGGCTTTGGGAAAACAACACAGGAAGCATCCCAGAGGCTGTGGTCAGTGGGCTGGAAGGCTATCTGAGTCTTAGCTAGCATGGACCATATGTCCCAGTTTATCCAGGACATCCCTCATTTTATGTGTGTTGACCTGGAGCACGGACCCCTAGGCATCGTGAACAACATGTGCATGTGCAGAGAGTTCAAGAGCTCAAGCATACTAAACCCCATTCAATCTTCTCCTTCAGCAAGGGGTGCGAGCCTTTTATGATCTGACCTTCCTCATCCCCTCTTGCTTCCCCACCCCCTACACCAGCTGTACTGAATCACAGCGTTTCCTCAAGCCCTCTTTTCAATGCTCCTCTTCCCTGACCACTCCCCCCCCCGTGCCCCTTCACCTCCTGCTAACACCTTGACAGACACCCTGCCTCTAGAGCCTCCCAGCTACTGCATGCCCAATTCCTCATGTGATCCCTCCCTTGGGATCACAGAACACCCAGAGGAATCTCTGTTCCAGTACTGATTGCGGCCCATGATCATTTTGTAATCACTGCTTGCACCGTGTCATAAATACAGTGCACCATCTTAACATCCAGCATGAGAACTCGTCCCAAGGCAGGCACTGCCTGTGTCTAGTGAAATATCTTACAAATCCAGTTGAGGTGGAAGCTGCAACCCTCAAGGCATGAGACTGCTAAACTTCACAGCAATAGAAAGCAGCCAGAAGTTGGAGATGGGGGTGGGTCTGGAGGGCTGAGAATGACAAAGAGGGGGAGAAATGGCCACATGCTGAGGGGTTGTTAAGAACAAGCCTGGTTAAAATGATAAGTTTGTGGCCCTGCATCTCCACCAATGGGACAGGGAAGCCAAGCTAGAGGAGAATCAATGCAGGGGGCAGGTGACAGGGTGGAAACGTGCTATTCAAGGCTTCAGGAGTATGTATGCAGAAGCCGACAAGCCAGCAGAGATAAATCATGCTGTGGACCTACTGTTTGAGGTCCAAGTGGGAATATCCAGCAAGCTGACCAAAATTCAAGCCTAAAGCTTAGAAGAGAGGTCGGAGCTAGGTACTTAAGCCCCTTTCAGCTCTAATTGTGATTTCAGAGCCAGGTGAGGGGACAACTCAACCTTAACCAGTCACCAATGCGCAGTTTCAGCCCGGTTCCCATTCGCAGGGGGGTTGTGCAGAAGCAGGATTTAGCCAGAAGGGGGCAGCAAACACTCGTCAGAACTTGGTATTTTTTTTCGTCTCCAGGAATTAAAAAGTACCGGCAACCTGGGGAATTTACTTGCTGAGATTTGAAAACAATCATTAATTTATAAAGCGGAAAGCATCAAGGGAGCTCCTTCACCTGAGAAGGGGAGCACTCTTTGGTCTCCTGCGCATTTCACTTTACGCTGAAGATAGGAACTTGATTTCAGACTCACGATGGAATTATCAGTCTCACAGATGGAAGGCAGAGAGGTGTGGCTAGACGGGGTCTTCCCTTCTCTTCCTGTTTGTCTCTCCTCTCTCTCCATGCCTCACCGATTTTTTTTTTAAGTATTTCAAAATTAATTTATTCATTCAACAAGTATTCTTAACATATACTCCACACAGGGCACATATTGCTATGTACCTGTGACTAACACAGACAAATCATAACACAGAGTAGAACAGTCAGAATCATCATATAAATATATGTAGAGGTTGTGTGTGCAATTGGGGGAGGGGCTGCAGTTGCGGAGCATCTGAAGGAAACATCCTAGGACCATTTTATCTGTTATTCTAATGCCAGTGGCTCAGCATACCAAACTCCCTTCCAGCCATCTCAGGAGACCAATTATTCTTTTACTTCCTCTGTCATGTGAGTTTCTTCTCTGTATCAGTGACATCAGTTTGCTGACAAAGGTCCACAAAGTCAAAGCTATGATTTTTCCAGTAGTCATATACAGATGTGAGAGTTGGACCATAAAGAAGGCTGAGTGCTGAGAATTGATGCTCTTGAACTGTGGTGCTAAAGACTCTTGAGAGTCCCTTGGACAGCAATCAAACCAGTCAAGTCAATCAATCCTAAAGGAAATCATTCCTGAATATTCACTAGAAGGACTGATGCTGAAGCTGAAGCTCCAATACTTTGGTCACCTGATGCGAAGAGCTGACTCATTGGAAAAGACCCTGATGCCAGGAAAGATTTAAGGCAGGAGGAGAAGGGGGCGACAGAGGATGAGATGGTTGGATGGCATCACTGACTTGAAGGACATGAGTTTGAGTAAGCTCTGGGAGTTGGTGATGGAAAGGGAAGCCTGGCTTGCTGCAGTCTGTGGGGTTGCAAAGAGCTGGACACAACTGAGCGACTGAACTGAACTGAACTGGACTGCAAGGAGAACAAACCAGTCCATCCTAAAGGAAATCAACCCTGAATATTCACTGAAAGGACTGATGCTGAAGCTGAAGCTCCAATACTTTGACCACCTGATGTGAAGAACTTACTCATTGGAAAAGACCCTGATGCTGGGAAAGATTGAAGGCAGGAGGAGAAGGGGGTGACAGAGGATGAGATGATTGGATGGCATCACCAACACAATGGACATGAGTTTGAGCAAGCTCTGAGAGATAGTGAAGGACAGGGAGGCCTGGTGTGATGCAGTCCATGGGGTCGCAAAGAGCTGGACATGACTGAGTGACTGAGTAGCATCCTTCACCCCACTTTTCTCTCTCCTCACCTCCCTGAACTCTCTCCCTCTGCCCCCCTTCTCTGCCCCTCACCCAGCACTTCGCCCTCCTCCCTGGGACTTGCTGGAGGCTTGGGGAGAGTCAACAGCTGCCCTTCTGTCTGCAGGGTCCCGACCGTCTTTCCAAATAAAACCAGTTGAGGTCAAGGGTCTTGACATACCTTCAAACCAGACACCATCTCCTACCTGCCTCTTCCCACCCGAGCCTGGCCTCCCTTCAAAGGAACAAAGCCGGACCCACCGGAAATCACGACACGTCTCCCCTCAAGGGCTTTA